TATATATTTCCTCCATGGCTCCACTATGGTTCCACACAGTAGGCCCTATTGATATGTTAATTAATTACTTACTTCCTGTCACTGCTTGGTATTTTTGTTTTTAGTTTTTCAATTTACTTGATCTTGAGAATGGTTCCATGATGGACCCGAAACGTCGATCTTTCTGGTCATTAAATTTAGTTTTGAAATAATATAAGTATAGTAAGAATAATATAAACTCTACATGTACAACTTTTTGACATAACCTTAACTTTTACGATTCATAGAACGTTGTTCGTGGCGGAGTAAGTCTTGCTATCCTGGTACATGTACCTCTCTCCAAGGAGTTCCCAGTTGTGCATGTGCCAATCGTTTTCAATCGGATCCCAACTGCATGAGAAGTAAGTTAATATTCCAAGTGAAAAAAAGTATTGTCATTCTAATATTATTATGCTCATATTATAAATTATTCTTTTTTTAGTTACTGAGGCGCCAACGGTATCGCACTGCTCAGTATTACTACAAAATGACGACGTATCCAATGGAATATCTACAAGTGATTTTTCTTGCCAGGATTTGCAGGGGTCACCTAGTCCTATCTATTCATCCTTACGAGGAAATGGCTTATCTGTGAATTGGCAGACACGTTTTACTGGTCCATCGTCTGCTACATATCCATTTCCTTATTATGTCAACGATTTTAGAGTGGGCGTGATTTCAGCAGCGGTCAATTGGATAATTTTAAGAGGTGAAAAGTACTTATTTAGACCCACTAAATTGCGTTAACTTAGTCTGGTGTCCAAGTGGCTGTTACCGAATCGGCCGAGTGGTGCCCGTAATAAGCAGAGAATGTAAAACACACGCCATTAGCCCCATCATCAGATGATGATAATAATAATAATAATAATAATAATAATAATAATAATAATAATAATAATAATAATAATAACAATAATAACTAGACTTACTATATGTCTGTTTGAACAACAGAAGATAGAACTTTTTCCCATTGCTTTAATGAGAAATGAAGTTGAAATTGCAAAAAAAAAAGTCGTTAAAATGTATTAAAAAAAGTAGGAAAACTAATATGATTTTAGTGAAGTGGAAAAAAAAACAAAAACCAAGTTTACTGCGACGTTATTAGTGAGACTTGAACTATGGGTGCAATGGTAATAGAGAGGTACATCGTGACTCAACAATTGAGTGCTATACTGGCTGTCCTTGCATAGGAAAGTGCATTTTCAGTTCATAGCGATTCAATGACTGAAAGCAAAAATTGTTCATGCACATCACGGTAGTTTTGAGTTTAACCTAGCTGTAACTGGTTTAAGCGCTTTAGAAAACGAAAATTGCGTTTAATCAACTGTCAAAAAAAATCTTTAAATGGTCTACATAACCACACATTACTGCGGATCGTCACCAGAATTGGATCATTTCATTTCACCATGAAAAACTATTCTGCAAAGTGTCATTTTTATCCATCTATAACTGGGACGTAAGCAATTTAAATGACCCTCAAATTTACACCCTAACCTAGATAGTCCCCTACACATAATAATATCTTCCTTATAACTTGGGTTAAACTTTCCCCAAATTTTCATTCGGATCAGTTCGAAATATCTGGTCTGGGACGTTTTCCTTTAAATGGTCCTCAATATTCACACCCTACGCCGGATTATATTTACAAACTGTTATAGAAAGTTACATTATTTTACACCCATCGAAAACGTTTTATAAATACTTACGTATGGAATCTCAAAAACCCTCCAATTTACACCCTTGACTGATTCGTCGCCAACATAATACTATCTTCCTTGTAACTTGGTTAAACTTTTTCCGAATGTTTCATTGAGATCAGTTGATCCGTTTTCGAAATATGTGGTCTGGGACGTTTTCCTTTAAATGGTCCTCAGATCTATCCCCTACACTGGATCGTCAAAAATTGAATTATTTCGGTACTAGACCATTACAAAATAACATAGAATGTTTCATTTGGACCCATTGGTTTTTTGTTTTTTTAGAAATATGTAGGTCTGGGTCATAAAAAATTGAAAAGGCATGATATATGGCGTGTGCTCTGTCTCTTATACACATCTAGATGTGTATAAGAGACAGGTATTAGAGCAGTTCTTGTGTGCCGGT